CCCCCCCGCCCCCCTCGCCTCCGCCCTCCTCTGCTGTGACCTCGCCCCCTGCTGCGCCCCTCTCGCACAGTCTTCTGCGCCGGCGAGCCCTCCCCTTCGCTGCTCGGCCGCCGCCGCCTGCCAGCCTTCCGATGGCGCCGCCAGACGTGGGTCGCCAGCTGGCCCGGCTGATTGAGCAGCTGGCTCGCGGCGAGCTCCCGCTCGTGTGGATGGAGCAATGCGCATGTGCGCCAGCGCCAAAGCCCCGGCCGGCCCCGGCGCCGGCCATCATCGCCCCGGCGCCTCGGTCGCCATCGCGTCCCAAGCGCCTGACCACCACCCCGGTGGCCGGGGTCAGGTCGGCGAACTTCTCGCCGCTTTTCTCCGCCCCCGACGGGCCTCCCCCGTGCGTGACATCCAACTCGGCCCCGCCTTCGCCTCCGCCTGGCCGCCCCCTCCTCCCCATCCGGCCCATACTCACAGGAAACCCCCCGCAGGGAGACACTCGGCCCGGACTCCCCCCCGGGGGATCTCCTCCAGCGCCGGCTGACAGAGCGCCTGGATGCCGTGACTTTGGCCACAACCACTCCACCGGCCGCGGGCCCGAGCGCAGCCGGGCGGGCACCGGCGAGCCCCGCCTGCGCCAGGACACCGCGACTCCCGACGGCCGGGCGACTCCTGCTGCCGGACTTCGGCCCGGACCACCGGCCGGCCCTGCAAGCGCTCGACACCGGCACCCAGGAGGCTCTGCCTCTGGCGGTGGCCGTGGCCCTGGGGGGCTCGGTGGGCGCCGTGTCGGCTCTGCTGGGCGCCCTGCAGGTGATCTCGCACTTGATGCGCCTGGCCCCGGCCGATGCGGTGTCGGCCGCCGGGTCGAGCTGCCCGGGGTGCGCCATGCTGCTGGCCACCCTCGCGCTGGGGCGCCTGATTTTGCGCGCCCTCCGGCTTGCCGGCCTCTGCCCGGTGCTGGCGTGCCTGCTACAGGTGGCCGGCACCCAGCTCCGGCCCGATCGCCAGCCCCTTCCCCTTCACTGGCCCAGGTGCGTGCGCGCATGCACTCCCCCATGATGCCCCATCCACCCCACGGCGCACGCACTCACACTCGCCCCTGCGGCCACCGCCGGCACCCATGCAGCTTGGAGACGCTGGCAGGGCACTCGGATGCCGACCTGCTGGGGCTGCTCCGCGTGGCGGCCGCGCCGTCGGCCCCCGGCGAGGGGCTCGACTCTTCAGCCAGCCCGATGGCCCTCTGCTTGGCAGTCATGGCCGGGAGCCTGGGCTGCTCCGACCCGGACCCCCGGCCGGAAGACCCCCCAGCCGACATGCTGCCCGACGGCGGCCATGCCTGGGACACCCCCTCGTCCACGTTCGGTGCGTGCGATTCCCGGTCCCGGGCCGAGCTGCCCTTGCCCCGTCCGCGTCCCGCCGGCTCTGACCCAACCGCTTCGCTGGCGCTGTGTCCCTCTCCTGGCCCCGCCTTTCCCCGGTGACGCGCGCCTCGCTGGTGCTGTGTTCCCCCCCCCGTACCCACTCCCCCGATGCGTGCGTGCGTGCGTGCGTGCGTGCGTGCGTGCGTGCGTGCGTGCGTGCGTGCGTGC